AACGCTCAAGAACATGCAGCAACAAATTGGGGAGGGAACTGCAAAAAAAAACGAACCAGCTCACAACAGAACCATCATAAAGCACAAAAGTTGCAAACCAACAACGGAGAAGAGCACAGGCCATTGAAAGGATCCACGAATGCAAGCACGGCAATGAAAGGTGGCGAAGCGTGCTGAAGGAATCTGAAGGAGCTAGAAAGTATGCGCTGCCGGAGTTTGGTTCTGCAATCCGTTCGCCTCCGAGCCTCCAGTCTCCGCTTCATTGTCGCTCCATTTGTCCCTTCTCATTCAGCTGTCGTTCTAGCCAAAGAAATTCCCGGAACTAGTGACAGGAAGGAGTGAATCAGCGAAACCAGGAACTTTGAACAAGGGAAGTAAAGGAGAAAACAAGGGTAAGGGTCGAAAAGGGTGTTTCAAAAAAAGAGCCTCGACCTAGAAAGAACGAGAAAGGAAACAAAAGCTTGTTCTTTGGAGGTCGCTTGTTAGTGCTTGACTGTGTGCTATGCTGCATCATGTTGAGGCGTCGCCAGTGCTACAGGGCGCACTTGGACACAAAAAGTCCCGTGCCTGCTGGGGCCAGCTTGCACTAAGCACATAAGCGTGCGAACCATCAACCATCTTGGCATGGCAGATTGTCTCGCCATCACTGTTCGACTCGGCGGTGGGTTTTGGACTCAGGCTGTGAGCTGTGAGTGTGGGCGTATGGTTATGCTCCTGAGTTGCCGAAGCAGCACGTGTGTATGAACAACTCCGCATGTTGATGTACATTGACAAAGACCGGCTCCCAATATTAACATGTAAAGCACCAGGCCGAAATACTCAAACAAGCAAAACGAGAGCAGCACAAAAGCCGGCCGTTGACACCACTTCTCTAGATGAAACAGCGTGGGTGATCACGCAACATTGGCCCGACTTCTGACAGGATTACAGCTATGGGCAAGTAGCCCCTGTTAGGCCCCTGTTCCCCCAATACCGCACGCTTCGTTGCATCGTCAGATCCTTGGCATGCGGATTTTGAACCCTCGTCTGGAGGATGACGTTTTCTTAAATTGACCGCATTGAGATTTGGCTGAGCGTTTTCCTTGCTTATGTGTTCCTCATCAAGGTCACCATGATGATGATGATAATAGTAATTGTGGACTGTGTGATTTCCCAGTGAAAAACAGGGAGCGGGGGGGTGGGGGGTGGGGGGGCGGATGTGTCTTATCATATGTTCACGGAATAATACTATGAGGTGATCCCGCGTAGGAATGTTGCAAGTGAGCGAAGTGAACGCACAAGAAAGAGCGGTCAAAAGAACCATTATCAGTAGAGTTTTTGCGCACCAAAACGAAGGTTGTGTTTGTGTCTTTCACTTAAGTTCGTGTGTTCTCTCATCTCGCTCGCTCCTTATATCCTGTTTGGAAATGGCCGAGCTTTCGCCATTCCCCTTTTGATCAAGAAGAATTCGTGATGAGTGGGTAATTGATCGCGCGTGAGCTGTGCTTCACTTTCTGAGCCACGGAGGTTTTGTAGTTGCTTTTCAACCTTCAAAAACTTCTTCTTCGTGAGAAACAATACAAGCCCCGGAATTTAACATGTGACAATGTTTGCACATACAGTTCTAAATTGCCAAGTCCTCATCCATTCACTTACATCGCCTAATAAGCATGCTCAGGCCATTCTGTATCGCTTTGCCTTTGCATGGTTTGGAGGAAGTTCTGTGCTCAGAAGCAAGCAGTAGTAGCGATCACTGCTATGTTGGAGTGTTGGAGAAGCACCAGGCCAACCAGAGAATCTGCGCGATTTACGGAGTGCTTGAGCCTCAGTCCTCAGCGCAAGGCAGTGTCAGTTTTGCATGCTGAGTAAGGCCACAGAGAAGCACGGAGAATGTTCAGCACAAGTCGTAACCTGCTGCAAGCCCAGCTGAAAAATGGTTTCGTTCGCTGTCAGGCGTCTCAAGTCACGGCAAACCCTTTGTTCCCATGTGTGACCGCAGGGTTTGCCAGGTGTTAGCCTTTTTCTGGCCAGGTCACAAAACTTGCAGAAGCTGAGCCACGGACACATATGGATGCATGCGGATGTTGATCCTGAACACGAGGCGTTCTCAACCTCGCTATTTGGGCGGTCCAGCGAACGTAGTTTGCTGCCCTGGTCGCTTTCAAAATCAACAAAGGCGTGAACTTGCTCGAAGTGATTGATGGCAAGAACACTCGTTGCTTGCTATAACTTTTTGAGACTCCACGAAAAAGCCTGTAAACAAAGCAAATTACAAGGCGCACATGAATTTGACATCGACATCAGTGTGGATGTCAAGTGTGTTTGCCGTTCTTTTGGTTTATTCCACAAGCCCCCTAAGCCTAAAGTGTGCTTATCTTGGTTTGGTCCGCTCTGTCCAGCTCTGTTCCCGGCCTTCCATTGAATTGTCCGGGGGAGCATTCGGCCCACACAGCCATCTGACCGGACCCAGAAATAGGGCTTGCAACAACACTGACTACTGATGTGTTTTGCCATTGACACATCAATGACTGCCTGGAGTTTTGGAAAAAACGACTGTGCAATGTTTCTTTGTGAGGGTATTCTGGGTAGAGCCCCTTTTTTTTTGGGGGGGGGGGGGGGGGGGGGGCGTTACGTTTGTAAATATTTGTCCATATGAGGTTGGGTTTGTTAAGTTTTAGAGTTTAGGATGAAGCCTTCAGCAAGTTTTTGCCTTTGGGTCGTTCGTTTGGGGGTGTTTTGGGGATTTGGGGTTGTTTGCGTATGGGAGGTATTGTGAGGACTTTTCATCTGAGTTTTGTTTGTGTGTGTGTGTGAGTGAGTGTGTGTGAGTGTGTGTGTGAGTGAGTGTGTGAGTGAGTGTGTGAGTGAGTGTGTGAGTGAGTGTGTGAGTGAGTGTGTGAGTGAGTGTGTGAGTGAGTGTGTGAGTGAGTGTGTGAGTGAGTGTGTGAGTGAGTGTGTGAGTGAGTGTGTGAGTGAGTGAGTGAGTGAGTGAGTGAGTGAGTGAGTGAGTGAGGTGTGTGAGGTGTGTGAGTGTGTGAGTGAGTGAGTGAGTGAGT